TTTACTCCTATACCTCTAGAGATATACCTTGTAAAATACTGATGGGCAAAAAGCTTATATACACTCTTGCTATTTCTTAAACCACTTAGTGCAATGGTTAATCTAATCAAATACACAGCTTTGAAAGAGCATCTAGTAGAGTATAGAATTTCAAAAGTGCAAAGATGATTTATCAGAACTTTGCTTTCACTTTTGAACTGAATGCTACTTCGCCCCCTAATTCTAATTCTGTGCTATAACCACACTAGCAAGATTTATAAGTGCCCCCAGTTTTCATACCAAGACTCAATGATGCCACTAAATACTAAAAACTTTAGGACCTTTTTCATGAATTTTCTCATCCTCAGTTAAGAGGTCTCAAAAAGCCCCCAGGGAATCCAACGAGCCAGATAGAATCCCAGCTTCCAGTCAAAGCCGGGATTAACCTCACAGCCCAGAAGTAGAGTTGTAAAGGTCTGCTTTTCTTTTCATGAACATTCTGTTCCGGTGGAGAAAACGACTTGAGTGGAAGGCACCAGGAGTTAACTAAGCCCCTAACTCAATGCAGGGGCAATTCCATATTAAACATATTCATTGCTGCCTCTCCTATACAATTCAGTGTAACAATCTTCTACATAAAATTGTTTTACCCATCCCTAGGTACTTATACTTAAGAGCTATGACATGACCATCACTGAGAATATGCCCAGTTTTCCAAGTATTTTTCTGAAAGCTTCATTAAAAAAAAAAAAATAAAAATCCAGCTTTCCACCAAGGATCCCTGATATCCTTGCTCCGCCCTGACCCCCAACCAAATGGTATAAAAACTAGCGGGGGTGGGGGGGCCCGGGACACAAAAAAACAAAAACAGTGTTCTATTGTCTTCTGTAACTCTAAAATCTTATTTTGGGTATTCTGGAAAGCACTGGGCAACTAGAAAACAAGTATTTTTTTTTTTAAGCAAGCACCAATTACTCATTATTATTTGCTATAACCTGGGGCAATCACACAGACAAGAAAAACATTAAAAAAAAATCCACGTGGGCTGCTTTTCATAAAGAATTAACTCATTCTTCTTTCAACAAGCAAGTTCAGGACAGGTAAATACCACACACCTCCATCCTTAGAGGCACCAGCTCTTTTCCTGATGTACGACACAAGTGGGCCACAGGTCCTTGGGTGTCTTCTGTCAATTTACCAACCTGATTTGGAGGCCCTATGCTTACTAGTATTTTTCAGTTTAAGTTTCCCCCTAATCAATTGGCTTTCTTGATAACGCGCATTTATTGAGTTGAAGAGATCTGAGGAAGTCTCATATTTCTAATTTTCAGCAAATAATTTAGTCAGCTCCTTTAACTGTAAATCCGATTTCTGAAGCCAAAATAACGTTACATTTACTGCCCTGTGCGGCAGACTCACTACTTACACATACTTACATAAACAGAGCAATTCCAGTATTAGCCATGGCATAAGAAAGCCCAAGGATTCCACTGCCCACAATCGCATTGCTCAGATTAAATACTGACATTCCAAAGGAAGTAGTACCTGGATGCTACATAGAGGGGAAACGATAACCAAACATATAACAATAATTAAATGGAGAAAACCACCTTTGGGCAAGTCAGCTTTGAAATCTAAAAAGTACAACTATTCTTTTACTCCACAAAGCCACAGACACAACAAATGACTTTGAACTTACAAAGTCTGTTTCATACTTCTTCTTCCCCAAATTTGACTCAAGTAAAAAGTTCTGGTTTTCAGGATCTACATCGGCATAATGGCTAGGGAAGAAAAAAGAAACATACACACGTATTAGGCCGAATCGAAATATCCATAATCATACACGTTAGGCTGCTTTCACTCGATACAGCCCACTTTCAGACATCAAAAACGGCTTTACTTAAAACGCATGCACATTAAGTAGCGGTATACGCTTGGAGGATGCTGACATCACCACCTCACATTTCAAATCAGGCACTCTCTCCAGTTGCAGCGAACTCAGTCAAAAGAAGCATAATCCTGCGTAAAGAATTCCTCCCTTACCCACAAGCTATTTTTGTAAAAAAAAGGAAAAAAGTAAGCAAGCAACTCTACCTTTTCAGAGCCGCTTGCTTGGTGGGATAGGAGTAGTTGAAATCACTGTTGGAACTGTAGCTGCTGCTGTCCTCATCGGGGGAAATGTTGAACCTTCCCATTTCGGCCTTCTTCATGGTGGACACTCGGAGGAATCGGGTGTCGCGATCAGCGCTGGGCTCCTTTAGTCCGTGGCTGTGTGTGCACCGACCCTCGAGGCTGTGAAGGTAGCGGCGGCGGCGTCAGGGACTGCAGCTCCCGCTCGGCCCGCCCAGGCGGGGTGTCACGTGACCCCGCCCCGCGCAGCGCGGCTGATTCATCCCCAGCCAGGCGAGTGGAAAAGTACCAGGCGAGCAGTGCGAGGGGCGGGGGAACGGCGAGGGGCGGAAAAGTACAGACGGCGGAACCGTCGAGAACAAAGATAATTCCACCGCAACGCGGCGGCCGCCGAGCCCCCCGGCGCCCTCTGGCCGCCGGGTTCCCTCTCGGGTGATTTTAGGATTTTACTCTCCGTTATCCCAGGTCTAAGCGAAGGGTGCTGGATGGGGGGCTCTGTCTGGCTTTCCCCCTAGTCTCTAAGGTCGTGCACAGGCACGCAGCGCACACCTCCCGCCCCGGCATTAGCTCGATGTGCATGCCACCCAAGCGCCCCGCTCGGCTCCGGGTTTCTAGCCTTTGGAACAGCAGGGCCGCCGAAAGCCGTCTTAGAAACTCAGGCTGGGGCGATGTCGCTGCGGCAGGTAACATACTTCCAGATGGAAGCAGAAAGCCTTTGGCGGGGCTAGAAGGGCCGTCCCCGGGCTCCGAGGGTTTGTTTACACTTGCACACCGTGCCCGCGTCCCAAGCACAGGCATCCAGAGGCATGTGGCTGGCGCGCGGGCACCTCGCCCGGCCACCTCCTCCTCTACCCGGAAAGGAAACTGATGCAATATCGATCATAGATTGTCAAACGTTACCGACCGCTCTTCCCCTATCCTGGCCTCCATTAGAATAAAAACCCAAACCCACCTTCGCCTCCCCTAGAGTCTTGGTTCCCAGGATTGAATTTTTAAAATTGTAATGATGAACGCAAATCAGTCACACGATTTGCCGCAGCGGAGCCGCGGGCCGAGCCGCTTCCCCTCCCCCTCACAGAAGGATGCCGCTCCGCGCGACGAGCGGGCTCCGGTCCCCGCCCTGCGTCCCCTGCCCGCCCTGGGGAGGCGACCCCGCGCGGGCCGAGGAGACCGAGGGGAGCCCCCCCCCTCGGACAAGGACCGTACCCAGGGAAACAGCCCCCGCCGCCTTCCCGCCGCGGGCCTTTCCGGAAGCCCCTCCCCCACCCAGAGGGGCCCCCGCGCCCTTTGCAGGGACGTCCCCAGCGCCCTTTACCTCGGTGGTCTCCGCTCCTGGCTCCCGGAAACCTCACAGAAACGACCTCTGCGGGGTTTTCTCAGCCAAAGCACAAATTGTAAAAGATGTTTAAGAAAAAAAAATTTTTTTACCCAACAAAAGACTGGAAAAAAAATGTGAACACACAATGGAAATGGCAAGTGGCCGCCCTAATCCACCGTCTCAAGGGGAAAGCGCGAGTGTGAGGAAACGCGTGGTCCAGCTGCAGGCAACCACTCGGCGACTGACGTTTGGGACGGTGGCGACTCTCAACTCCGGAGCATCCCGGCGAGCGGCGGGTTTTAAAGGCGGCCGTGGACGTCAGGGGGCGGGGCCGCGGCCGCCCGGATGGCTTTTCTTTGTGTATCAACACCACCTGGGCTCCGCCCCCGGCCTGCCGGGGCCCATGGCCCCGCCTCCTCCCCGCCCCCCGCCGCTGGCTCGGCCCAGCCCAGCCCAGCCGCTGGCGCTCTGGACCCTCCAGCCAGCCAAACTCCTTTCCCTGCAGCTTTCCTTTCCCCTCACCCCGAGAAGACCCCGGAGGCTTCCCGCAGGCTGCTCGTTTCAGCCCCTGGGGCTGCCCACGCCAGCGGTGGTCTTTGAAGAGCATTTTCCTTCAAAGCCCCTTCTGTCCAGCCCACTTTGCGTGCTCCTCGAGGCTTTTGGGGGACACATCCCGCCCACCCCATCCTTTTTGTGCTTGTTACGTGTGGGATTTTGACATGGCTGTTTGGTCTTGCAAACTTGAGCCGAGGCAGCCACGCAGTCCTGGTGGCGGGTTTCTGTTCTGGTTCTTTCTTACCCATCTGAACGTGCTTTCACTCTTCAGAATCGGTCGGGTGGCTGCTCTGACTTGGGATAGCCTTTTTGGATGAAAGTGAAAAAACCAGAACTGGGGAGAGGGGCCCCCCAGAGCAGCAAGCCAGACCCCTGGAAAAGCATCCCGTTTCTGTGACGCGGTTGAGGGGCCCCCTAGATGCTCGCAGGGTGCGAGCTCTCCTTGGCCGCCTTCCCCGGCGTGGACGCAGGCGCTGCCTCCGGTGGAATGCTGCCGCGAGACGCTTTCTCCCGAGCCTGGTGCCGTCCCTTCCAGGAATGCTGGGTGGTCTTGCTGAGCCAGGCGCCTAGGGGGTCCCTTCGTTGTGGGATACTTGGAGCTGCCGGGAAGGCAGGGGTTTCTAAAACAAAGAGTGCTGAAGAGACAAACGCTCGTTGAATTAGCGAATAAACAAAGACGTTTGACCTACTGCTCTCTTCCTTTGGGGGACGTGGGAGACGTTGGGCAGGGCGCAGAGGAAAGGGTTGAGTGTGACCATGATTTTTGCTTTCAATATTTTCCTGAGGAAATCTGCACAGCTATCTATTTCCGTGGCACGTGAGACTGCCCGTGCCGTCTGCCTGCACCAATGTTCATAATTGACAAGGGTGGACCCGATTTCCCCTTTAACTGCAGGGCTCCCCACCCCAAACCTTCTGGTCAGACCAGTCTCACCTAAACAATACTCTTTCCTGCTTTAGTGCCCTATACCATCGCCCCCCACCCCTCCCCAGCCCGCCCCAAATGTCAACATCACTCAAGACTTAGTCATTGATCCTGGAGAAAAGTCTCCCTCCGCCTTAATCCTTACCATCTCAGGGCTTTTATTTGCAGCTAGTGTTTTCTGTAACCAAACCGTGCAGGATTTAAAAAACCCTGGTTGGTTTGTACTCAAAATTGTTCAAATCTGTGGTTTTCTCTCCCCTTTAGGTTATGAATTCTCTGGGGGCAAATTTGTAATTTAACATACAGTTGGGGCTGCAAATATTTGATTATTTTCCTTCCACACATATTGCGCAGTCGCATCAATCAACTGGTCAGGAGAACAATCTTGAGATCTGTATTGGAGGTTTAGAGAGGATTCTGGGGAAAAGTCTTTAGATCAAGTTTCAACTGATAAAGATCAAAAGGGCTTGGACCCCCTTTCCATTCCAGTGAGTCTCTGGCACAGCCTTAGCAAGGTGCTGTGGAAGTCCTCAGGGCCAGTGGCTGTCGCAGGCAGGTCACAAAGAGACCTCCTGTCCTTCGGACCTTTTAATGGTTTACATTGAAACACATACTTACGGGCAAAGCAATTAAAAATTCGGAAACCAACTCACTGCCTTTGAGTCAATTCTGACTCATGGCGACACTGCAGGATGGAGTAGAACCACCCCTTCGGCTTTAAAACAAAGAAACTCACTGCCCTCACGTCGATGTCAACCTATAGTGACCTTATAGGACAGGGTAGAATTGCCCCTGTCCGTTTCTGAGACTGAAACTGTTTAAGGATGTATAGAGTCCCGTCTTTCTCCTGCAGAGCAGGATCAGGTTTTCGAACTTTGAATCTTGCAGATGTTGTAACTGCTACACCACCAGGGCTCATTCCTTTGGGTTTAGAGGCTGTCAATCTTTACTGGAAGGTTCATCTTTCTCCCTCAGCGCCCTCAGATAGTGAGTGTGCTCAGTTAACCTTCTGGTGAGCAAGCAACCCTGGACACCACCAGGGCTCCCTACCCAAGCGCAAGACCTATACAATTGGAGGCAAATTGGAGCTCAGGATGACGGTGGTTGTTTAATTTTATCTTACCTTCTGTTGGACCAGAACCTGAAGAGGAAATGACCAAAAAAAGAAAAGGGTTCAAATATTCATTTTTCTCTCACCAGTTTGATTCATGATTTGAAGGGCCAAGCTGAGGCTCGTTTGCTGACTCAAGTGACACCCTACTGAAGCCTGCCGTGCTCTGGGGTCTTGCTTTCACATGCTGCGCTAGGATGCCTAGCACTCGGTGCTCTCATCTGATTCCTGAGGAATTGTACCACCAAGTAGCTGTGGATCAGAGTGCAAATATTTTGTTTGGTTTCTAAGCTAATGTCTAGAAGAGCAACATTTTCCGAACTGCAGAATGGACGCGGTGGCGGCATGGGATCAATTCGGTGGATTGCTATTAGCTTGCTGCTACTTTTTTATGAAACAGAGCAGAACAAAACCCCAAACCCCCACTGCCTTCAAGTGGATTCTGACTCATGACACTATAGAGTTCCGAAGACTGTAAATCTATTTCTTCCCTGGGATGGCTGGTGGGTTTGTTTGTTGTTGTTTTTCCCCCCAGGGAAGAGCGCAAACACAGTCCCCCACTACCACAAATTATGCAGCCGAGTCTCCCACATTTAGGGAAATCGCAGGGGTCAGCATACCCAGAGTGAGCCTCGCCCTTGGAAAATCACCTTCGTGATCATGGTATCTCCCCTGCCAGGTAAGTATGGCTGGTGGGTTTGAACTGCCAACCTTAAGGACAGCAGTCCAACGCTTACTGTAGTGTCACCAGGTACAGAAAATTTTAAGCAAACTGCTATGACATATATAATCATGCCAAGTGTTATTCTGAGTTGTGATGTAAAACATATTTCTTTCTTTTTTAATACTTTTGTTTGGGGCTCTTACATCTCTTTTCACAATCTATATATTCCTCCAATGTGTCAAGTACATTTGCACATATGCCGTCATCATCTTCAAAGCATTCTCTTCTCACTTGAGCCCCATTTCTTCTTCTTCAGCTCCCCATTTCTTCCCCCTTCATCGCCCACTCTCCTCCCTCATGAACCCTTGATAAGTTATAGATTATTTTTTCCATATCTTACATCATCCTCTGTCGCCCCTCACCCACTTTTCCATTATTCGTCCCCCTAGGAGGGGGTTCTAGGTTGAACCTTGTGATCAATTCCCCTTTCTCTACCCACACCCTCCCCTAAGTAAAATGTATTTCTTACTGTGGTCTCATGTGAAAACAGTTTGAAAGCTACTGAGAGCAAACCTTATCACCACTCTTAAGACAGGAAAACAGTTATAAATATCAGTTGTCAACTTTGAATTTTCAGGAATGTCCTGTCCAAGTAGGTCATTAGAAGTTTTTAGTGGTAGTAGATACCAGTCTTCTCTAGGCATGTGGTCATTACCAACTGATAAACTAGGAATGGATGGGGTTGGTGTGTGAGGTGTGTAACTAGTTTGCCTTCTCAATTTCTTGCTAGCCTGCTGGTCTTTAGGATGATCGGCAGCATTCTATTGAACATTCTATTGAATTTGCAGCCAGTAACTTTACACATTAAATTAACTTCTCCCTACCTCTGTTTCCAATGGAATCGTTTAAAGCTCCTGAGTTGGTATTCAGTTTTCTCTTGTATGGCCCAGGCTGTCTTCCCAGACTAATCATCCTTTATCCCTTGCTGCCCCCAAAGCATCGCACCTCTGGTATTCATGCCCATTTGTAATCCCTTTCTTTTGACTGTGGGCTGGATCTAATGACTTGCTTCTAGTGAATGCTGCTGCTGCTGTTAGGTGCCTTTGAGGCGACTCCCGTTCAGAGACCCTATGTACAGCAGGATGAGCCACTGCTACGTTCTGCACCATCCTCACTACATCGGTGTACTGAAGCCCACTGCTTCTAGTGAACAGAACTGAGCAACAGAGAGAGCGTGTCACTTCTAGGATTAGACTATTAAAGGGGGCGTGGGGTGGGATTCTGGCTTACATTTTGCACAATAATGCATTCTCTCTTCCTGCTTCCCTCCCTCCCTCATGTGCTTTCAGGGAAATCAGCAGCCATCTTGTGCACTGTCCCATGGAGAGCTACGTGGTCTGAAGTCGCTGGCAAAAGTCTGCCCAGGACCCAAGGCCGACCAATAGTCACATGAATAAACTTTAAATCATCTCCTGCCCAATCAAACCTTGAGATGAGGGGAGCCCAGTCATACCTTAGCCAGAGGTCCCAGCTAAGCCTACCCCAGATTCCCGGCCCATAGAAATGATGTGGCAGAAAGGTTTGATGTTTTTAAAGTCACTCCCTGTTGGTGTCATTGACTCTGAAACAGATTTCCTTCCACAGACCCTATGCTTTTGCCAAAACGTATCACTCAGTGCTTTCCATGAAAAACATTTCCCCCACTTCTTAAAATGTCCTCTTCCATGCCGATCCCATTTGTCTACATTCTACCTTACTGTGGAGCTCCCATGCAGCCTTGATGTTTCTGCTCACAATGAACCTTGTTCTACTTTGAATTTAGTTCTTTATTAGTATCCATTTGTAATACTATATTTTGTCTTGTCTGTGCACGACTGTATATTAGTATTTTCTTAGGGCAGAATCTGGCTAATCACTCTAGCTCAATCATTTGTTTTAAAAAAAGTGATTTTTGAATAAGTGGATGAATTAAATGTGTTTTTTTAAGCCAGAGTAGTTACAACTATCTAAAGTTATTTTCACATATTTACTTGTTTGTGTGTTGATTGTTTGTCTCCCTCACTAGGGTATACACTTTATGAGGACAGGAATTTAACCAGTTTCAATCACTGCCACTTCTAGAACCTAGTGAGCAGTCTCAGATGAATTTGCTGAATGAAAGAAAAAAGGAGGAGGAGGAAGCAGCAACAAATATTTTTTGAGTTTCTGAATGACCAGGGGAAAACATATTGTTTAAAAGGCATCTACCTTAACTCTAAAGCAATGGTTCTCAACCTTCCTCATGCCGCTACCCTTTCATACAGTTCCTCATGTGGTGGTGACCCCCCAAACATAAAATTATTTGCGTTGCTACTTCATCACTGTCATTTTGCTACTGTTATGAGTTGGGCAACCCCTGTGAAAGGGTCATTCGACCCCCAAAGGGGTTGCAACCCAAAGTTGAGAACTGCTGCTCTAAAGGAACCTTGGCGGATTGTAGAAGTCTGGCTGCTAACTTGAAGCCCAGCAATTCAAACCTACCAGGTACCCTGCAGGAGAAAAATGAGGTTTTTTGGTTTCTGGAAATCTTTACGCCACAGAAACCCCCAGGGACAGTTCTGATTTGTCTTAAAGAGTTGCTCTGAGGTGGAATCTTCATGGCAATGAGTTTTTGGAGTTTTGGTATCTTATCTTTGACTAACTGAACTAGAACTCTTATTTCCCTACCCAAACGGTTCTTTTCCCCAATCTTTCCAACTTAGAAAAATACCACCACCATTCATTGGAGAACTCAGGTCCCAAACCAAGAAGTCAGGTAGTCCTCTCTCTTGAAACATCTATCCCATCAGAAAGTCTTGAGGACCCTACTTCTATATTCAGAATCTTGCTAGTTCTTAACATTCCTACTGCTCTCTCGACAGCTCAAGCCACTTGTACCTCCATTTATCTCCTGGAGCCAAAGAAGAGCCACAGCGGAATTTGCCTCCCTGTTTCCAGTCCAGGTGCTCATAGCCCATTCTCCACCCAATAGCAAGAATGATCTAAGAACAGGAATCAAGCCCTTTGCTTAAAGGAATAAAGCCTGTTTAAAGCCCTCCAGCGACTCCTAAAGCCTCAGTTCTGATTCACTGTCTTACACGGTTGTGCTACTCCCTATCTCATCCTTTCCCACTCGTTGGCTATATTTGCAATATATAACAACCCTGTTGCCTTCTTTCTGTCCCACGACATAGTCATTCCTGTTTCAGGGCTTAGCACTTACGTTGCTGTCTGCCTAGAGATCTTCTTGCCCCTATCTTTGTGTGCTTGCTCTATCTTTTAGGCTTCAGCTTAATATCATTCCCCTCGTTAAACACACACACACACACACACACACACACACACACACACACAGAACTTTGAAGATTCCTGCACCCAATCACACACACAAAACTTTGAAGATTCCTGCACCCAATCTCCATTTGCCCTGTTGTCCTATTTAATTCTTCATGGCAGTGTTCATGATATGGAAATATATCATTTAATTGTTCCCCCTTCCAGCATCTTGCCTCCTAAATCTTGCTGGAATGGGAGCTCCACGAGGAACCAGTAGTTAAGAAGTATTTGTTGAGTTAAAACAGTTGACTTTATCCTTCAGTGCCAAGCACACACACACATACTCTGAATACAGTATCTGTTGAATTGAATGAATGAGGGAATGTTTCATACAAAAACATCTCAATACAGGAGGGAAGATGAGATGTATATGCTGCTCTAATTTCTAGTCAAGATCTGTGGCATACTCTTTGAGTTCAGACTCCATTTCACTGTTTTTGTCTTTTGAATGTGGATAACAATGCTGGCCAATTCTGCCTTCCTCAGAAGGCTGTTAGATCCTTCTGTATATTTTATCCTTGGGCTCATGCTTGGTAGGTATTCAAAACACAGCTGTTAAGCCTAAAGCAGTGACGGTGCCTTTGTGAGCAGCCTACTGAATTTCGCATGCTTTTCTAGCATTGAATGACACCTTATTAGGCACCCATTGTTGCAACACATTTTCTCCAAACTTATGTATGAAAACGACAACCACCATTGATGCTTTCTCAATGTGTCTAGGGGTCAGATGGGGGATTCTGACTTGGCGCGTCTGTCATCAGCAGTTGACAGACTGTCTAGTCATCCTGTGCCGGAACCTGGAAGATCTGCTTCCAAGATGGTTCCTTCACGTGCTCACCAGGTGCGTTCTCTCCATGAAGATTTCTCCACAGGCTGACTGAGTTCCCCACAGCCTGAGTGTATCTGTAACATGGTAGATGGTTTACCCCGGAGCAGTGATCTAAGAGCGACTGAGGCAAAAGCTACCATGTCTTTACCGTCTAGCCTTGGAAGTCTCCCATCATTACTTTCACCATATTGTATCTGTCCCAGAGGTAAACCCTGATTCAATGTAAAGGGGGAAGGGGGCTTGTTGAATACTGTTCAGAAGCAAGGATCCCTGGAGCCATCTGGAGGCTGGTGGTCACCCAGTGGTTGTCAGCAGCTGGATGATTTTTATTGCAAGAAACCGAATATGAAATTACAAGTGAATTAATTACTAAGGACACTTATTATCTCACCGAATAGGATGTCTGCAGATAGGGCAGTTCTGGGGTTCATTCTTGGCCTCGATAATCTCAAGGAGACTTTTCACTCAGAGGATTGTTCCTGGTGTGGTCAGATGTCCACTGTTGTGGTTTCAGGAGTCATTTGCAGACAGGATCACGCACAAACCAAAACAAACTCACTGCCATTGAGTCCTTTCTGACTCATATCGACCTTACAGGACAGGACAGAACTGTCCCCATGGGTTTCCAAGACTACAACTCTTAATGAAAGTCGAATATCTCATCTTTTTCCCACAGGGTTGCTGGTGGTTTCAAACTGCTGTTCTTGGGGCTAGTAGCCCAATGTGTTACCACCATACTACCAGGGCTCCTAGGGTCACATCCCGTGAAAAAGAAAGGGGTGTCTGTTTTTATTGTGAGAGAGAACAGTTCCTGAACCCCGAAGCTGTAGCTATCTCAGATCCCATTGGCCAGGATTGGGTCACATAATCACACATTAAAACATACATTGTATTGTGAATCTATATACTTACCAGTGTTTTATAAGTGGATGCCTCATTTCTCAGCAAGAAAAAGAAAATGATACCCATGAAATTCAATTTTAGAAATTACTTTAAAATAGTTGGATGGCTTTACACATATTTTAATGTGAATAAATTCCATTCTGTCCAGACTATAGAACTCTCCAGGAACGTAAGAACAATTGTGAGGACGGCCCAGGACCAGGCGGTGTTTTGTTCTGCTGTACAGTCACAACCAACGCAATGGCATCCGACAACAAACGGGATCAGTCTTGGCTTTCTCTCATTACCTTCTGAAATTCAACAACAAAGGGTGGTATTTTGTGTGGCATTTGCAATACAGCCCTCATATGACCTTTGACCTATAACTCCCACTGGGCAATTACATGAGACTAGGCATTAGGTGCTTATCACTGACCAAAATCACAGATGTGAGTTTCCATATACATGTTTACCGGTTATTCAAAAAGTGCCAAGGTTAACCTAAGAGTCAAGAAATCAAGCTAGAGCACAAGTACCTGCCACTCTATAGGAAACAGCAAACTGCTCCACGGGGTTTCCAACCCTAGAGTGTCCTGACTGGAGTTGATAGCATCTTTCTCTCTCTCTCTCTGAGTACCTGGCAAGCTTGAACCGCCAACCTTGGGGTTAGCTGTCCAATGCTTAACCCATGTACCAGTAGGGCTCCTTATTTAATAGTATCTGTGCTCCAGTCATTGTGGGAGGAAGAGAAGACTTTCTGCTCCTGTCAAGACTGTTTGGAAACCCAGAGGGGCAGTTCTACTCGGTCCTATAGGATGACTTGATGGTATGTGCAATCCCCTTGACGGCATACAGGTGCTTCTGCTGCTTTGATTTGTTTTTAAATGCTCTATTCATTAACATTATTCAAATCCAAATTTTGCTCAGCAGGAGAAAAATGTACAAGTCGGCTTCCTAAAGATTACTACCTTCAAAAACCTTCTATTCTGTCCCATGGTTTACTATGAGTTGGAATTGACTCCACCGAAATGGGTTTGAGTTTTCTTTTATGCTTCGTTATTTTGAAAAATTAAGAAGTTCTGATTCTTAGAATACCCCGAAAAAGGCTTAATTGTCAATGCTCCGTCTTGTCCAAAGAGAAATGACAGGGGTAGATGTGCTCTAACCCCAAACACTCTCAGGTCACGATGACCTACATTCTTGGCCTTCCGTCAGTTTCTGGATCTTTCCTTGCCCAGGGTGAAGATACTTGAGATTTATTAAAATTAACATACCTGCAATTCTGGTTCTCAGGCGAAGTTTTCTCATGTAGAACTCAGACTGTTTGGCTGAAATACCTGGCACTGTGTTTCTGATTAAGGTGCTTGCATCTGGTTCCAAGTAATCTCATGGTGGGCCACCTGGAGCTAAGGCCACTTTTCAAACCTCCCCTCCCCACTTGAGCGACACCCATCAGGAGAGGAGAGTTCCAGAGCCAACCACTCGCTGCCACTGTTCAGTGTGTGTCTTCTCGAGGTGAACCACGTGCTCAGTACACCCTTTTGAATGAAATAATGTCATTGTCTGTCCCTGTCCCCTCCCCAGGGTGTGGGTGAGGTTAACAAACTCCCTCAAATTGCTGACTCGGGTCAATTTTGTTGGTGGTTGGGAAAAATAAGTGAGGAATGTTTTGGAAAAGGGAAAGTAGCTTGCTTATTCTCCTGGTGGCTGGCTCAGTGGGAGTGGGTAAGGCTCAATGGGACTGTGTTGGTGCTTTGTTTCAACCAGGGCGTCTTGCGCTACAGGCGAAGCCCAGTGCCGGTCTGCGGCAGCTTCCCCTCGGGTCCCAACCCCGTCTCAGGGTGTAAGGGAGAGGAGGGGCGGTATCTGAGGGGCCGAGGCGCCCCAGCGGCGAGGACGGAGGCGCCAGGCCGCCGCTCCGCGCCCCGCAGGATGCCAGCCCACTCCGCACAAGGT